CACGCCCCATTAGTCAAACCGAAAAGAACCCCACCCCACCAAAGAATGTCTACTCCTATCCTGAAGCAGGCACGAGGATCACGTGATTGCTAAACGAACGCTCTGGTGTAAGTTTGACTTACACGTGTAAGCTAATTGAACGCACCCACAGGGGCTAGACCTCATGCGCAGCAAGATCTTAAGTATTCTCCTTCAGGTTGTGAGCATTAAAGAACAATTTTTTAGCAGAAACGAAAAATGGAACGTACACCTTTAGTTGGCCTGGCCGCAAACATTGACTACTATTTAATGGCGTTAGAAATCTTCAGTGCGCGGTCGGCCGATTTCAGCATGCTCGCTAATTGGATGGATGGCGTTTTCGGCGGAGCGGGGGTTGAAAAACTCAGGGCCACATTTTGGCAGGTGAGATCTCGAGGAGCTGCGGTACTCGGGGTCGGTAGTGGAGCAGGTAGGTACTGAAAGCCAAAGTGGAAAGGGGTTTTCAGTGTGTCCGATGGCACACATGTTTTCACCAGTTGCTATAAATCGTTAACAAGCAAGCCGGCCTGGGTAACCGTTTTCTTGAAAAAACAGGTGGGAAAGTGGTTAAAAATGCTGGTGTTCCTCATGGACTATTTGAGCTGGTTCTGGGATCAAAACACACCCATGTACGAATTGAGTTGGGCGTTCGATTGTATAACTATTTACCATCACTTCTTCATGTATGTAGGACGGTTAGTCCTACAAAACGGAGACGGTAAACAGTCGTACAGCAATCAGTACAGCATTTACAGCCCTGTTTGTAGGGCCCGAGTCGATGGTATGAGGACTAATTTCTTTGGGCTTTGTTTCTTGGACTCTTATGGAATGTAAATTAAACATGTCTTTGTGCTTGCGTCGAGTCTTCAAGTCGGAGTAAGGGCACAGCAGGCAATTAAAGGCTGATGGTACGTCGTTGACCCACTTGAAGCTTTGGTTGAATTTTGCCACAAAATAATGTGCATTATGTTAAGAAAAAAACGTATGCAGCAAAATCCTCCGTAACAACCTTCAGCAGCAGTTGAATGGTCATCGAAAACAACGTCACACATCAGGTGAGCTGGCACTGCATAGGCCTTTGAGGTTTGTGTAGGTTGCGGTATGCATGATGAGTTCATCTGGTAACTTGGCCACAGCTACCGCTTTTCAATCCGACCACGTACCATAAAGATCAGTCCATCGGATTTTGGGCAGGTTTTATCTAGTGCGTCTCGCACAATACCAGAATTTAATTACATTTTTTTCATCTCACTCGAAAATTTAAACGGGGCTTGTTCAACCACAAAGTCAAGTTTCTTGAAAGGCCTATAGGCCTTTAAATTGGTGGATGTATAGGCCTGTTGATTTTTTTTTAAAATTTCGGCTTGAAGGGGAAATGGATTTTGTGATGCTACAGAAGCTCCTGGAGCAGTTCCCGCGCATCGATAATCGTGAAGTTGAGCCTTCTCGTGAGATGTTATTCGAGTATAAGGCACTGACTCGGACCAAGATGAACCAACTACAAGGTGTTAAGTTCGACTGGCGGCTGCAGACGATCGAGCAGTACGAAAGGGCGGGAGATCTTACTAAGTTTCATTTCACTCCGTTTACTACTTTGATAACTTTGACAGTTTCCTGAACACGTAGGTCGCACGTTTCACGCGCACTTGGAAGTGTGCAACTTGTAATTGTTCAAAAAAATGGACTGATGAGTTCTCCCCAAAATCTACGTCCTGCATCCTGAAATAGCTCCCATCCCATGCACGTTGCCTTCTTTTGGTTGTCTGAAATGAAAGTCTGGCGCCCCCTATGTTGTTTTTCGACAGATAGGTTAGGTCGAATTCGGGCAGCCTGTTTTTGACACGGGTTTCTTGTTCTTGCGCTCAAACGGCGGGAACACGACTCAAGAACACTGTTCTCGGAACAGGATCACACACCACCTTCTCGTCAGGGTTTTACAGGAACACAAGGACAAACTTGTGAGATTTTGATTTTTGAACGCAAGCTGGCTCACAAAGCTGGAGACAATGGAAAGTTTTACAAATTAACAATACTAATTTTCCACAGCAAAAAAAATTAATGTTTAAATAGAAAAGCACCAGCAATAACCGGTTGTATGTTCCAGGCGTTCGAGCGGCCGACCCACGAACAAATCGAGCTGTTCGTGAACATACGAGAACAAGCCGCCCGAACTCAGCCTCAAGAGAGTAGCTGGAGAGTCATCGTTAGCTTTAACAGCGCCTTTAGAAATTTCACTCATGCACATAGCCAGCCTATTATATAAAAACAAAGAAAACAATAATTAACAAATAAACCAACAAAAATAAACCCATTAAATAGTTTTTGTTTTATCGACAGGATTAGCTTCGGTTTCGGGTCTCGGCTTCGCCTTTCTCGCTCTGGCTAATCCATCTTAGGTTCAGCAATTGAATACCAAGGGCTCAAAATACTTACCGACGACTAACAGGGGGCGCTATAACGTAACACCACACTGCTGCAAATGCTGGAAATGGGCCTTCCGAGTAGCTGATATGAGTGTGAACTTAGAAGAAAGGGTTCAGCCAAGAGTTGAAACACATTGGCGGATCCCCAAAAGGATTTTCATAAATACTGAGATAAAAGTAATGATTAGAAATGCGATTTGTGGGTCTCTTTCATTTCCCCTTCTTCCAAAGGCCCTTTTAAAAAGCCCAGAATGGAGCTCCCCTCAGAAAACTCACAACAGGTTACGTTAAATATTTCAAAATATTTTGTCCCCCGCCAAGGTAAGATTTTTTGCCCTAATGTTGTTACTGATCCGTCCTTGGTTAAATCGCACCTGCTGTAACTTCGATCACACAGTTACCGTGTCGCTTGGTCAAGGTAAAAAAGATTTATAATAATTACTAGGCCTATATACTCATTAACAAACAAATGAAACCACATAATGAACGAATAAGTGCGAAAATTAATACTTAAAGAAACTAACAAAAATTAAAGGACAGAGTGGCGTAACTAACGGGCATGGGACCCCCCGTACAGTCTAGCCCTATGATCCCTTGTGTTTCCCCCCCCCAAAAAAAAAACTATTGAGGAGGAAAATCTGCCGATAGTCCACTTTGGTCATCGTTTTAACTGTAAAAGAGCCGGGTTATTTTGATCCATCTTATGGGGGGGGGTCCGCCCTCAAGAACTCGGCTGTGCCTCGCTCTATTTTTTTCTTATTGAAACTTGGCATGCATGTAATGACACTCCTTATAATTATTAATGTGAAAATTGAGCTCAATCGGCCATACATGTATGGCTTTGTTGTTTACGGTTCAAGGCAACATGCGTGGCATCGCGCGTGCACTGAGCCCCGCAGTGGAAAAAGTATACGTTTTTGGCTGACCTGTTTTGGAAAAATATGCGCTGTGCAAGAACAGTGTGCTCAATTTTCGTAAATTGATTTCAAAATGACCGTAAATAACTACTCTAAAAGCTCCTAAAGGATCCTGAAAAAAGCACTGCGGCGATATCGGGAAAAAAGTTCGGGGGGGGGGGCGGATTCCGCCCCAAGCTCTTTTATGGTTAAAATAATGTGACCGAAAGTTACTACAAGCACATTATACTACAAGTTGAAAACCCATTTGAATATTGGACAGCAAGCAAAAATCGAAATTTGGTTTAAATTTTGTAATAATTTTTGATTGTTTAAATGTTTCCTACAGCGTAGGCTGATTTAAATCACCTTGATTTAAATCACCGATTTAAATCGCGATTTAAATCAACATATTTAATTTTTCGGGAAAAAAGCAAAAGTATTTCAATTTTTATAGTCTTTTTTGCTGATTGGAAATGTTTGCAGGTTTTGCACTTTTTAAACAACAATTCCCCCCTCTGTAAGCCTTCCAATTCCTACTAGTATTAAAGGAATATGAATGCACACGTGTTACACACATTCTGGGTTGGCAAGATTTTTTGTTCAATTCAATCCACTTGTTTTGATTTAAATCAGCTTTTTGGATTCAGTAAGCAAATTTGATGTGAAGGATCTATAATCATGATTTAATTATACTTTATTTGAATTGTCCATTTCAGAGTTTGACATGGTAAAGTATCAATGTACAGTGTACATCTACCTTTTATATACAGGTACACATATATTTTATTGCGATTAGAAATGTTAGTCATACAGTGTAACTAAAACCACTAAATACCCCTTAATAAATGCCCTTAATAAATTAACTTTTAATCAAGCCTAATTCATTGCTCCGTGGAGCTGGATCACAAACAAACCGAGACTGCTTTTTGCACCATATACCAAGGTAAAATACCATTTTGTAGCATGTTTCTCACTAATTAGTCATTTGATGCATGTATAAGTACCGTGTTAACAAATTCTTGTGAACTCTAGTTTTGTCAAAATTTCGGTTAAAAAACCTGGTATGCACTTTATCCTTGGTACAGTATATGTACCGTACTTGTCTCTGAAAGAAGTGTCTTCTCTGCGGGTACATGTGCCGGTAAGTGTTATATTGCATGCATTTCACCATGGCTAAGACATGGTGGTTTCTGAAATTAATCAAATTACTTGATTTAAATTGCTTAATTCAATTTTGTAATAAAACAATTCGATAAAAGAAAACTGTTACATGCGCAGCTAATAATTGCTTGCTTTTGAAAAGACTCCAATTTTTATAAAAATAAAAAAATCCGATTTAGATAAAACAATCTAATTTAATTTTTAAAAATCCAATTTTTATATTTTCTTTTTAAAATAAAAAAATCAACAACCCTGGAATTTTTCTGATTTATTTTCGAAGTGTTCATTCTCTTGCCTGGCGGGACATTCAAATACGAAAGCTAAAGGTGGAGGAACTTGAGCAAGGTGTCAACAGCCGTCGGGTGGTCCATATGAGTGATAGGCCAATCAACGAGCAGAATTTAGCGTGTGTTTGTTCGAGTACTTCTGTGCTGTACCAGAGCGTGGCTAGCTACAGTAGCTGCACAATATTTAATTACGCCGACACATACGTACAAACCTGTACATGTACTTGTACATTTCACGCGTAATCGGCCGTGCCGATCGAAGAGCAGCGCAAATAATCCGATTTGAAATTTACCGGTAATATTCCTGACAGGGAACTCCATCCCAGTTCCGTTTTAACATCACAACATGATCTGAGCGGTGCAAGCATGCATCACATTTAGAAATGGCAGAATTCAGCTATGGACGAAGCGGCAGCATGCACAGGACTCGAGCCGAGAGACCGCTGACGGACTCCAACTTCGGCATGAAACATAGCACCTCGACACCGGTTATCCGCGCCGCGAGCCCCGCGGGGAGAGGCCTGTACGGTTCCAGCTCTCGTGCCAGCAATGTCAGCAGCACCGGCAGCGAGTCCATGCAGGGCTTGATGAACGAGTTTCGGGAGCTTTACAACAGTCGTTTGGAAAAACTCGAGGCGGAGGACGATGGACACGAAGAAACAGCGAAGGTAAAACTTAGGGTAGGCTCGCCTAAGCATGCTCATGATGCTAAGGAATGATGATGATTGATTTAAGATTAGGCCTAGGTCACTTGGGACGAGGAGTCGGACCCAGTGAATCGCTTCTTTTAACATTTGGACATGGTCGGGTGATAGGAGGTCCTACTCTGTCCAAATGTTACAAAAGAAGCAATTTGTCAGGTTCGAGTACTAGGCCTAGGACTCCTAGTCATGCTTAGTTACTTTGACTAGATACACGTATAGGACCTACGTCTAATTTAATTGATTAGGGTCTGATGTCTGTGAGTGAGTGACTACAGTACTGTTACCGGTTTAAAGTCACTTCGTCCCATTTCCACGTCGCCCCCTAACCACTTCGCCCCATACCCAGATCGCCCCATCTCCACTTTGCCCCTTTCCACTTTACCGTCCGTGCCCGAGTGTCTTAAAAAAATGGTCGAGAGGTGAGTTCCACAAACGACATGTACCGGTAGTTATTATAGAAAACTCTATGGCATTAAATTAATGTTGACTACGTTGCCATTATGGTGAATTAATACATACATGCACATGTATGGTTGGACTAGCATCTGGGTTATTTCTCATCAAGTACGTGTACGGTCGCCGCAGCATGAATAGACTGGTTGCCACACTCCATCACGCATTCTCTTACATGGGTGCAGTGCGGCGGGAACCAGCACTTAGCTCACATGTTTTTACCACAGCGACAACGAAACTCGAAGAAACTTTTATTTTTCTAACTTGCCAATAGAAAATTTAGGGTCTCGCCAAAAAATTTGGGTCCGGCGGTCAGGAAATCGGAAGCATTGTTTTGGCCTCTGGAAGTTGGGTTCCCCGATCTTTATTTGGGTACTCAAACGTTGATGTTTTTACTTGTTGCATCCAGGCCTATGGCTCTGTTACTAAAGAACAGAATGAACAATAATCAATGGGGCAAAGTGGAAATAGGGCGAAGTGGAAATGGGGTGAAGTGGAGATGGGGCGAAGTGGCATGAGGCGAAGTGGAAATGGGGTGAAGTGACCGACACCCCTGTTACCCCTACACCCATACATGTTACTGTGGGGCCTGACGTCTGCCCGACATTCGTTTGGGCGGAGCAGATGACGTACCCCACAGTTCTTGGGTTATGTTACATGTGTCCCCAGAACTGCAACTGTGTGATTCAACGTCGGGAGCGGGGCAGATGTCAAACCGAGTAGGAGGCCAAGTAATTATGTTGATATAATAATAAATGTTGGGCATGATTGGTAGATTTAGGCATCATCTCATCTGTCCACTGTCATGACTGTACTACGGTATATTATTGATTGATCCCTCAACAAAGATCCCTCAGAATCAGTAAGATCTGAGATTTTTCAAAGGATCAATAGATACATGGCAGTCGACCTACATGTACATGTATCATCATATTTCAGTCCTATCACTGCTTTGATTAACCACGTGGACTGCATGCCCTCTTTTTGGTGATACTAGAAACTGGAACCCTTCCCCTTATGATGGAAAGGATCAGAAATGAAACTGGACTACATGTACATAACAGGATCTTGGTTCAGGCCGGGGTTGATATTCTTGAGTCTCTGACGTTGCTTGTTGAACCCATCATGCTGTTGGGTGCAATCGGCCAATCTGCATGGTCACCGGATCACTCTCTGCGATTGGTCCATTCAGCATGAAATCTCCAATTTTATTTCCCATTTTTGGAAACACTCTGTCACAGCTGTGAATTTGAAATACATATAAAAGGTGGTTGGCTGATCGCGGAATTACATGTATTGACAAATCATGCACTAACATGACTAAGATTGACCAACTGTGGACAGATTGGGCATTTCAAGATGTACTTTGCACTGGGGAGATTTTTTTTGTCAACACTTTTGCCCTTACACCAACCATGAACCAACATAGGCTCGAGTCCTACCCGAGTGGGCTTGTGAATTTTTTTGGCAAGCCTTCAAATTCAGACATTCATTGAGTACGTGTACTGTATATATACCGGTACGTTGATGTAAGGGGGAAAACCCATTACCATAAAAAAATTAGGCTATTGGGCATATCGACTGATTGCACCTTTGGAACAATAATTTCCATTCACGTATATATCTAGATGTACATGTAGATGTATGGAGAAAATGCCATTGGTTGGAGATGAGGGTTTCCATGGTCTTACACCCTGATCTGCACAGAATTCTGCTTGAAAATGTGACATTTCTACAATTTACATGTATCATGAAATTAATGGGAGCATAACTATCGTTATACTATCAAAACTAATTGTATTGTTTATCCACAAAGAATGGAATGAAATATAATGATGCTGTGGTTTTCGTTTACTTTAAAAGGGTTTTGCAAACATTCCAAACATAGATGTATTTATAAGATTACCGTGGTACTGAAATTCCATACCGAGTTTGCTGGTATTTCGGTAGTCATCGGTCAGTATTGTTCGACATAAAAAAAGGCCACCACTATGTGATGTTATTGAGATACATACTATCCAAGCCTAACTCACATTATCTATTCCCCTTCCAGAAAAAGCTGCGCATCTTACAGTCCTACATCAATGACTTGACTGAGCAGAATGACGTGCTTCTGAAAACTGTGGAGGATTTAGAGAGGGAAGCCAACGAGAGAGTTGCCTCACTGGAAGGCAAGCTACAAGAAGCCCAGACAACAATCAAGGTTTGTGCAAGACTACTTGAAATAATGCGCCGTTTGGGTATTTCAAAAAGCCAAGGTCTTTCGAGGACAAAGCACCTATGAGTCAGCATATGGCTGCATAGATTGGACAGACTATCATGCACGCATGTTGTTGTTCCCAAATAGCCTTGTACTGGTCATGCGCTGTTGGAATACCCAACTGGCTCATTAGTACTCTCACTAATCAGCCTTGTACAACGTGAACATGTACCTCACGGAAATTTTTCTGCCCAAACCTGTGATGAAAATTGGCCTCATTGAAGCGAAGGATGTTTAATACCCATCGAGAACAATTTGAAAGTCCGTAGGGTGAATTTATGCATGAATGACTCTTGAATATTGTCATGGTCCATGGTCCAATTCTTTCCCCAATTTAGATCAGCAAGTGTTTTTTTGTTTTTGTTCATGTTGTTTGTTTGTTTGTTTTTTTTCATTTGTTTGTTTTTTTCCATTTCTTGAGATGCCAGTCTTGGGTCTAGTCTAAAATGTATTGTTAAGTATATTGTCAAATACATTTTGAATACCCTATTAGAGCAAGCCTCGTTGGTAATTTCAGGAGAACTCTATCAAGTCCCGTGAAGCTGAGCATGAGATGAGACTGGTCAACATTCAGAAACAGAATACTGAGCAAACACTCCACGTAAGTGTTGCATCGGTTTGCAGACTACCACATGCTCTGTCACCCGTAATTGTAGGGACTACACACGTGCTGAATGATGGTTATCGTGGAAACGAGTTCGTTATGGGGACAAGATGTTCTTCCAGGGCTCGGTCCAGACATTCCTCACCAAAAATCGTTCCCTGAGTGCGGTGAAGGCCTACCCACACATGTACTGCCACCGAATTTGTGGGGACAAATTCCATATGGGGACATATGTGGGTCTGGAAAGTGTGATAGAATTTCCTCAAAAACACATTTGTCTCCTCCCCCACTAAAGAAAGAGGTTTTTTCATTACATGTAAGTACAAAAATATATTATTTGGTGTTCGGTTTACTTTTGTACGTTACGGTCAGCCACAGTTTGCACTGTGCAGGCCACAAGTAGGCAAAAATTACGACTTTGGCATTGCGGGAGAAGGTCCCTGAGGGTTTAGAATACAAGAGTAGTTTGTTTCAGGGGTTCTTTTACATTCGCCAGAAATCTTCCGGATGCACACTGATCAAATGCATGAATATTTCCACGGTGACAGTAGCCAGATCAATTAAGCCCGTCCCATGGTATTCTGACCCATCACAGCCATGATCAGGCATGCAACGTTTCCTCGGTCAACTGCTGACTTCCTCATTTTTCACTTCACACTCAAGCCGTTGAAAATTGAAAAACACTCTGCAAAGTCTTGTAAAGATTGGAATTTCCTCAGTTTTCATCAAAAGTGTGCACACGGATGTGATGCGCATGGCTGGAGCATGCATTATGGCTTTGGAAAGGAGTGTGCAACATTGTAATATTGCCCATGTTCATGGTAGCTGGTGTATTATGTAATAGTTATTATGTAATGCGTCTGTAATGCTTATTACATTGTACTGAAAACAAAGTATCTTGCTATTTTCTGCGAAGGATTTACAACACCGCTTTGATCGACAGAGAGAGGAAAATGAAGCCCTGAGAGATGAGAATGCCGACCTTAACCATGACCTGAACATCCTGATAGGCCTGATTGGTCAATCAAGAGCGACAGGCAAGTGGGAAGTAAGTAGCTACAAGATAGATTTTGAGTTTGTGAGTTAGTATTGATGACAGGGCCCCATACTTTTAATTTGTTTACTTTGTAACAGCGTTATCTACAATTTGTGACCCACTCTGGTATGTCTGGAATACGAGTCACAAGTCAACAAGTTTTGAGTTGCAAGCCTTAAAAACAATCTTGCACTTTGGAAATCAGGAGAAAACTGTCAACAGTTTTCACCTAAACAGTGTCCATTCCATTAGGATGCCAAATAAGTGAAACATCAACTAATGCAAACTGGAACAATGACTCTTTTCACAGAGTGGGTCGTAGGGCTGAGTCAATTCAAATAATTCACTGTTTGAATATTCGACTTTCAATTCAATCGAATATTTGAATGTTCAGTCTTACCCTCTGGCAGATTGATTATCAGATCTGGTAGATGATTAAACCATACAAAATAATGCACATGCTTGCACATTATATTCACTGTAACAGCTTCTCGCGTAGAGTACCTCCAGCCACGATTTATTAAGATTTAAGAGACAAACAATACCTCTTGCTCTGTTGAAAATTTCTATTCCATTTAGATTTTTTAATGAATAATTTACTTTTTGAATCATTGTACATGTTGTAAAATTTCTGTCGCTCTTCTTTTGAATAGATTGAAACAAGCCTGCTTAGTGCAATTTTTCTCATTTAAAACAAAAGAAAATTCTCCCTTCCCTCTCATGAATTTTGCATTCGAATATTCGAATTTGGAAAATAGTATTTAAATATTTGGTAATCGATCGAATATTCAGCATGGCCCTAATGGGTCGCAATTGTGAGTCCCGTAATGCACAAAATATCTACAGGGGTGCATTATTTATTAAAGTGGTTGGATCAAAGCCCTACCAAAATGTTCACATTTCGATGAACAGATACTAGGATTAAGCCTCGAATTAAATGGGAAAAAAGATCTTTGTAGAGAATTGTTTGACTCTTATGTACTTTACATGTAGCTGTACTTGTAGTCATTCGACATCTCAAAGTCTGAGTCCCTGGTTGAGGCGTGTAATTGAGCTGGGAATATAAAAGTTTGCAAGAGTATCTGTTCGCCTGAGCGTTTTGTTCTTCAGTGCAAAAGCTTCTCAGACATTTCGCGACCTTCTTTACTGAATTATCCTTGTGTCCTGCAAATTGAAGTGTATTCCCAAGGGAAAAAACATGTTAGAGCGAAATGTTGTAGGTCTGTATAAACGTGTAGTGTATCCACATCTATGCACGTCAGGGATTTCAAGGTTGTTTACTTGTGCTACGATGAAACATGAAGGGATATGTTTTCCGGGGGAGGGGGACTTTTTTCCCCACTGTAATCACATCATCTCCCTTGGTCGTGTGGGAATTGGCATTATCACCATGGTTACATGCTTTAGTAATTTGATCAAATCTCTCTGTAATTTGTCTGCCTCAAATGTTTGCTACATGTATTTGCATGCGTGCCTCGAGTATGGCTCGCAAAGAGAAATGCATTTTTCGGATAGACCCGTTTGTCTTGAGCATCATTACATTATTGTAGCCATATGTTGACCCAGGACAATAATAGATTTTCAATTTTTTCTTACTATGAAGAGGAAGAGATGGAGCATGTACATGTATACTCTGGAGTATACCATATTTGGACGGCCTATTAACATCACAGATCTCGTGCAATCTGACCAATTACAAGGCTTGTTCTAGCAGCCTACAACAGATTGTATTTGTGTTTCCATGTTTACGGAGTGTGGTTCTTAAACTTTGTAGCATATTGAACAAAAACACTGACGAAAAATTTCAGTCGTAAAAATTTGATTGACCCCAGACATACATGTACAGTACATGTAAAGAATAAATGTTCTAAAACATGTTTGTACTGGTGGGATTTAAACTTTGTCATTGCCGTCTTGAGATATTTAAAGTTGAATTTAGACACAAATTGCTGTAACAGTAGGGAAAGGTCACTATGTCCATATGTGGTGATACTCTAGACTGATATTATTTGATCAATTGAGTTTATGCTTTTGAAGTTTATAGGCCTGCATTTTTGAATATGAAAACTGAAGATTTGGGCTCTCTGTGGGAAAAATTTCACTGTTGGTATTATTGGGAACTGCACAAATTATTTCTTGTGAATATTTTTCTTATTGATATCTCGTTGTGTGGCCGGAAGAAGATCTTAAGTGCTTACGACGTTTTGCCGGGAAGCATAATAGCTGCAAAAGATTTTTTCCTGGCAAAAGGAGGTACATGTATGTATCCAACTGTTTTATTTTAATGAAATATAAATATTTCTTTACAAGTTGCTCCAAAAACATTTCCCAAGTTGTTTGATAAGTTGTTCAAAGGTTGCTTTTTGCACAGCCTGTGTTGATTTTGTAGTAAATTTTATCCATTTTTACTAAATAAAGAGAGCGTCTTTCTTCCGCCCTTTTACCGGAAGCATTTGTCTAGTGTGATCATGCTTCCGGGCAAGAGGGAGTAAGCGTGCTTACGACCTTCTGCCGGACACACGACTATCTATGATGTTTGACAAGTACATATTACTCTGCGTGCATGTTTTAGTTAAGAAATTTTGTCATTTAAAGCTGGACAGTTTGATCATAGTATAACTTTTCCCAAGGGGAAAATTAGAAGAATTTGTTGAAACTAACGGAGACAAATTGTAATTTGCATGTACATGTACATGTAGAAATTGGAAACTTGCACTTGCAGAAGTTGAAAGGATTTAAAAATTGATTGAAACTGTACAGTTAATAACAATTTAAATCAAATATTGAACAATTTGTTGTTCATATTGTAATGATACCACGTCATGTGTGTGGATTGCGCTGCAAGATCCATCAATGAATTCGGTACCTCGTTCCAAATTTCGTAATGTTTACAACTTCTGTACAAGCCACTGTTCACTTGCTTTCAGTGTGCCCTTGAAAAACTGTGTACATCTGTGGCCATGCCGCCTGTCCCCTCAACAATGTCACCCTAGTTTCGCCATTGGCTGCATCCAGAATAAAAAAAACAATTAGCGTAGCATTACATGGGGCAGCATTTAGCAATTAATGCAAATTACTGGGAAGTCCACAGCTGTGTCTTTGGCGGCCTTACGTTGCGGGGCATACACAGCTCAAGAAAACTGAATCTGTTACTGGCCATTTTGTCTCGGCGCCAAATGAGGTTGGTCGAGAGGACTTGGTACACATCATCGGGGCACATCATCAAGAGTGATGATACTGTACAAACATTTACACAGTGCAAGTACCTGACCGATGGTGTCGGGAACCTGTTCCAAATTATGGAGTCAGGTTTCGATAAACTATAGATACGAATTATTACCTAGTATCACCTGAGACAAAGGTGAAGGTTTTTGTTGGGAAAATTTTAATTAAAATTCCAGGTGTGTAGGATGTTGAAACAACTTTCATGCTTTATGACCAAACAGGTTATTGATGAGCATTCAGGGTCTTAAGACAGAACTGGAAATCATAATGCTTTTCTCATTTAAATTTTTTTTAAATTTCTGTCTTGGAAATTTGGTGGTTACATGTACATTGTACATGTATGTACACATTTTATGGGCACTGGGTGCCTGCAGATATGGGCTTAAGGAAAGTGGCACCCCTGAAAAGTGTGCCACAAAGTGTCCTTCTGCTGGACATACATGTAGCAGAGGAATTGGGAGTTCATTTTAAGAGAATGTCAGTATCACAAAGTGATGAGATCTTGTCTGTCAGTCTGTTAGACATTCATATTTAAAGATGCATCAAAATGATAGCAGTACCGACATGTACATGTGTAGAACTACCGAGAGTGGTAATGTTAGATGTGCTTTTAGCTTTGAATAGCTTGTCCTAATACATACAGTACATGTACATGTACATCGTAGCTCTATTTTTAGATGCCAGTAGTGTAGCTGGGCAAATCTGCTTCCAGCGTCTGCACAGAGATTTTTATTTCTTAAACGTTTGTTTGACATAATTTGTTATAATTGTAAGTCCCCCTAACACGTGCATTAATTGTCACTGAGCCTCTCTCTCAGTTTGTACCTGTAAATGTTCATGTATGTCATTAAAAATTCAACACATTTCCTGTGATAGCAACTTCGGCAATTTTCCTACCACATGCTCATGGCAACATGATGAACCTGCATGTAATCCATTTGTCTGTTCCACCAGCTTGGCAGGCTGGACGCTCTCCGCCTCGTCTCTAGGGATCAGATCCTGGGCCCCAACCCCCAGGACATCCCCACAACTGACGCCATCATGCAAGGCCATATAGAGGACCTGAAGGCCCAGCTACGCCACCGTGACAACCTCATCTTGAAGCTGCAGAGCGACCTGAAGGGGAGTCGTGACAACCAGATGAGCTCGGCAGATGAGGTCATTCCCCCCTTTATATCAAGACTACTCTTAACCAGGGGCAGCTGTGTGCGTTAAGGGGAGCCGGGTACCCTGTTCAATTTAAACATGGATACCCGAAATCTTACTTTTCCAAGAAAAAGGGAAAAAGAAACTCGAAACTACATCACTGGCAGATCCAGGGGGCTAACAAGAGCTATTTCCCCCTCCCCCACATCAAAAAAAAACAACTTACGCAGGGAAAGTGAGAAAAAAGCCATATCAGAGCCTCATTTCAGTCTTCTCCTTCCCTAAAGCATGGAATCAGGCATGCAACTTTTCTCTGGATCAATTGATTTCCTCGTTTTTTCACTTGACGCTTATGCCATTGAAAATTGAAAAATACTGTGCAAAGCCTTGTAAAGATTGGAATTTCCTCAGAAAGAAATTTTACAATTTTTGGCCCTCCCCAAAAAACAATCTTAATCCCCCCCCACTGAAAAATGTGTCTGGATACACCCTTGAAGTGCTTTCAAATTGCCAATCACCCAGATCACTCAGTATTAAAGTTTCTGTTTTGTTGAAAGAGAAAGGCTTTCAGAGATATTCCTTGAAAATTTTTTTAAAAAGCCAGGCTACATGGAATTTGAAATAAGTTTCACATTTCTTTGGAAAGGTTGTCCTTGAGCATTTTATTTAAGACAGAATAGACAACTTGAATGTTTTTTGCTTCAAATTTCTGTGTTGGATTTTTTTTGCATAAAAACTGATGCCCATTTTTTTTTCATACTGTAACATACCGGTATGCACCCCACTGCTCGTACAAGTTTACATCTTTCATTTGAAAATCCCTGAAAATCATGGTGATGCTGTTTTTTCCTAGAAACTCATAGAAATTTACACAATCCTGTTTCCTGTACAACATCAAATTGAAATTTTTCTATGTTGCGGTACATGTACATGTTTGCTATGAATTCTACTTCAAGTGTTGCAACATCACACTGTGCATTTCCTTGCATACCTGTACCTTCATTCCAGGAAGTGGCAATCTTTGTGTGGCCTATGCTGGACAGTTTGTATTTAAATTTGTGATGCAGTCTGTCACCGTTGAAATGTTTGTAAGAAAAAGCATCCACACTTCTTTTTTTTTTCATTTTATGTAGATCCATTCCAAAATGTAGTCTTTATCAGCTTTTTATTTTCAATGTCAAAGTTGTTAGAGGAAAGATTAAAGAAAACTAGTTTTGGGAAGAAGCTCACAAAGTCCCAGCTTCCCTCAAGTTTAAACAAAAAATTTAATATGAAAAAATTTGATTACCTTAAGGGTTTCCACAAATTTCATGTTTGTAATTCAAGAATTGGCACTGTGGCATACTAAAACCATAATGTGCTCAGTCTGAAAAAAAGTCTAATTGGATAGAGGTGCAGTATTTTAATGAAGTGAGATCGTTAGACACCTAAACTGCTGTTAATTTACACAGAACAACAAAGAATGCCTCATCTTTCCTGTACAATATTGGCTATCGTTGGCATTTAGGAATGGTTCTGCAGCATTCCCAATAAGCAAGTTAATTCAGAGCTGGATAGTGTTTCAAAAGCAGTTAAAACTTATTCAATCACTCTTCTTTCCATTGAAGTTGGACACTGCACCTTCCCTCAAAACACGGACATGTGTGTTCATACCACACCCAATCAGATAACTACATGTACCCATCTCATATTGTTTAAGATATTATGCGCTGAGACTACAAGCCTTGATTTAAAAACAGACTCCTGCCAAACACATTAATGATCCAGCAGGTGCGTTGACGCAAGTTCTCCCACGGGTAATTGGGCTTGAGAAATGACAGTCGACTCGAGTTCTTCTGTGATTTTTAAAATCACTCTACTACATTTTGTATCGAAACTCGCTGCAGTGTGATAATGTTAAGCTCTGTCGTAGGCAGTCTGCCATTTACAAGCTCAAATTGCCCATCTAATTGTCAGTCCAAGCCACGTAATTTAAATTACACTGGCAGAACACCTGACTCTTCGTTATAAGCTCTTCTTTGCATATGCTGTGACGGGACAGACAAATCAATATTGAGAGAGTTGACAAGCAGGAGTGGGGCCTTAAAAGGTGTGTGTTATACAGTAACACCTTGACAAATTATCCAGATATGTGTACATTAGGTAGTCAGGAAAATGTAAGTTGTAAACTTAAAAAAACAACAACATTTTTTAAGTTTTAATTTTGATTTCTTTGGGACACATTTCCTGATATTAAATTGAATTAGAAGCAATACATATATGTTCCCTTTACCAGTTTGATTAATTTGTCAACCAGTCTCTACTTTATTTTAATGATAGGGACAATCCCTGCATGGAACCAGCAGGAGTCTTTCAACATTTCAATACATACATGTACTATACATGGGTCTTGGCTTAAAATTCTTGGTCAAATGTGTTTGAGAGTCAGAGGTCTGCAATTTGGCTGCATGAAAAATTCAGGCAGGCTTGGTTACCATTTATTAAAACAATAAATTTTTTCCATGTCAGTGGCACAAAATGTACCCCATCTTCCATGTTCATTTGTGGTTCACATTCTTTGCATGTACATGTTTGGGTTCATATTAAAAACTAGCAGCAGCAATCATCTACTTGATACATGTATCAACTGCATCGCCTTGGATTTGGTCAAGTTGTCAGGTTGTTGTAATAAAGTGGTCATAGATGTAGTTACATCTATGAAGTCTTATATGAATGAAAGGGAATGGAAAGATCGAAACTTAGACAAATCATCTCCTCGTGGTATCCGGAAATGATGACATATGACATGGTCGATACACGTACATCACACAAAAGCAACAAAATAGTTTCGTTATTGTATATACATGTACATGCACCAATCACAAATGCTGAGTGTTTACTTTGAATATCAACACAATTCTTGACATCCCAGGATCTACAAAGACGACATTGCCTGAAAGATAAAAACCATCTACTGTAGGCTTAGTGTACTTTCACAATCCAAGCAATGGGTCTTTCTTCATGTTTCACGGTAGATTGCACGCAGAGGAATGGTCCTAGACTCCACAAAGACGACCCTGTCGACAATCCACGATCGTGAGCAGCAACGCATGGTGAGCGAGACCGACAAGGACATCACCATCATGAAGCTGAGATCCACGCTGCACCAGGCCGAGCAGAATAGACAGGATGCCGTCCAGGAGGTATGTTCATTCCAGTGATCAGCTTGCCACTTCCTGTTTTAATCTATTTTTGGGCCTGACAAACCATTCTCAGTTGAAAATAATCACCGGCTTTATTTGGCAGCTTAATTGTCAAACAAGGTGAATGATCTCTAGTAACATTTGGAATGTGGATAGTGACCCAGGAGTTTCCGTGCTGGTGCCTACATGCACACATGTATGGTCTTCTTGTTTTGTGAGTATCATATACCATACACACTAGGCGATGCAACTTCCTGTCCACAACAAGTGTGCTTTCGAATGCACATCTGCAGATGTATCAGATGTACATGTACATGTATGTGTTGACGTTGTGAATGTGGTTTCTGAAAGTGTGTGACATATATTCCAGGGATTTCCAAGGCACCCAATGCATCAGGTTCAAAAGAGCTACCTGTACATGTAATGTGTGATTGTCTCATGCAGTCCTGTTGGTTTATGAAGGATTCTGAAATTACTAATTCATTTTGTGTGAAGAAGGTGGGACTTCCTTTTTTTTCAATATTTAATGCCAGCCTCTAACCTGTGTCAGGGATGGCACAACACTTGTGTTTCTCTTCTACACTCATCTGGCATAGAATTTAGCACAAGTGATTTTGGAAATGTGAGGTTTTTGTGGGGTTGCCGGGTGCACTGCACCAGTGGCCCTCAATGGCCAGCCCATCCTTTTTATTCGTTACCAGCAAGAAATTCTCTGCAAATGTCATCCTGGGTTTCAGATTTTGTTTTTCACAAAATATTGACCATGTTGGGCTCTGTAGTGATGGCAGTGATGTTGGATAACCGCCAACATTGTAGACCCTGTCTTTACAATGCACATGTATTTCATATGTGACTAGCTTTTACGTACTATACTAAATTAATTTTCAGTGTGCTGTTTATTCCATTTATTATCCCAGAAAGAGAGACTCAAAGGTGTCAGTCTGTTACCGTGGAAACAAATAGCTTAACTTGATCCTGGTAAAGTCCAGACATTCAAATCTTTATGATAAAGGGGTATTTCCAACAAAGATACAGCACTAGAGTTTGGATCTTAACTTACTACATGTACCTCTTTTAAATATGTATTAGGCTATTAATTTGATTAATAAAGCCATTTTTTTCATTTGTTTTCAGATTTTTACCATTTATGTGGCCATTTTGTTTGTGTTTTTTACTGTAGATGGCAGGCAAGGAGCAAAATATTGACCAATTCCGTTCCTTAGTCAATGAACTGCAGAATGAGCTGGTCGTACGCGAATCGGAGGTAAGAGAAGAACGAACGAAGCTTCTTTTTGGACTTAAATAGCAAGGTTTGCCTGGCCTGGAAAAGTCATAGAAATTTGTTTTCTTTTTCCAGGCCTGGAAAAATCATGTAATTTTGTAAAAATGACTAAAGTCATGGAATTTGTCGAACATAGTGTGTGATTTCTATTATCAGAAATAAGTGCACAAAATATGTGATTTTGTTTGCAATTTTAAAACTCCAAATAGTCCAAGAAATTGCATTATTGGATTGGGTTTTTCATAATTTGGTCATGGAAAAGTCGTGCAATTTAATTATCCTTTAGGTGCAGGAACCCTGAAATAGCCATTTTCCATTTGAATGACTGTTCAGACTTTTTCATTGTAGTATTTTATTTGTAGTTTTGAACTTGGGTGTTCTTCTTGCTTGTACATGTATAACGGGCAGTGCTAGGCTTGGGGTCGTTTTGTGGAAGTCTAGAATTCTTGCCTCTGCTGTTGAAAAGGATAGATATAAAAACTGTACATTTGCTCAGTAATAATTCAAACAAATAGATAGAAAACATTAAAGCTCGGGGGCTGGTTCACACTTCAAGCAACTTTGTTGTCATAGAATGTTCATGATGAGATTTTCCAGAGTTTGTTTCCTTTCAACTTGTGCAAATTTTGCACCGGATTATCAGTCGTGATGTCACAAATTTGTATTCGGCGTTTATTTTGAAGTAAACGAGCGTGAGCGTGTCAGTCCACAAGGACTGCTTTGTGACAATTGAGCAACAGTTTGTTCTATTTTTTTGTTTGAGCTCTCATTGAACCAATTCAGACAAAACTACTTTTTTGTAATGCTCTTTTTTGTGCAGAAAGTAAGCCATATTCAGACTATTGCTCTCCTGAAGGAAAAGCAACGACAGTCATTTGATCAGGTAAAACATTCACAGAACAATTCGTAACCTACACACATTGAACTGTTGACGTTTTCACGACAAGGCAAATTTCCATTTCTCTCTGTGACGACTTTGTCCTTTTGTTTTGTTTTGTTTTGTGACCGAATGAGAATGCACATACATACAGTATACATGTAGGTGGATTCCTTACATGAATGGTAGGTGGCGGTATACAAGCACTCGCTTGCATTTTGTGCGGAGCTAATTTTCATCTGAATGTGCACAGACATGTGGCACCACGAAGAGGCCTCAGTAATGTGGCCATGCAGCTGGGTAGGATTTCAGGCAGAGAGCATTGCTTAACAGATGTTGATGCTGAGTAAAAATTACCTGAATACCAATCACCGAAAACACAGACAGCAACACAGTCTGGCTGGTAACCAGTTTTGCTCAGCAGGTATTTTAAGTGCTGTGCATTTGTCTTATGCCAAGTGGTCAGGTGGTAGAATGAAATTGGCCTCTACATGTACATGTAGTATTTCCTGAACAGGATTCCAACCGTGACCTCTAAAGTTGCATTGAATGCACTAACTACATCAAAGTTTCCCCTTTTAAAACGGCTGTGTATTTAATATTCTTTTTATTAATGTATTTTAGTTTCATGATCTGCCTTTGGTGTTCATTTTTCATGTACCTCCAGGTGGCTCATTTGGAGCAGCGAATCAAAAATCTGGAGGTGGAGTTGAGGCAGTCACATGACCAGAGGAGGAAAACAATTGATGAGGTAAACAGGAAACATCATTTCTGGTTTCCATGGTAGTTCAAAGCTCTGTCACACATCCATGGAAAATGCATTATCCTTTGCATAACGACCCTTGTGCTACGAATGCCAGATCACATCATTACACACTGCAAAGTTTGGCACAGTCTTTCTTTATGATAAACTAGGAATTTGTGTCAGTCTGTACTTTGCAAATTTCATCCCTGATAAAAATCAGGCCAGAAATATTAGTAGGGGAGTCAAATATCTTCACTGTTGTGTTGCAACCACCTGAAATTGTTCATGGTTATAAGCATTTTGAGCATAGGTATCCTTTCAATAATGTAAGATGTGACAGATACTGTAAATTGTGCACATTTAAACGAAAATTAGCCACGCCTACTTGTGGCTGCATGTGGTGTGAGCCACACTCTTGAGATCCCACGAGCAATCACACATTGCCAGTGAATGTTCCTGCTTACGTAATGTCCTTGGGAACTGACTTTATTTTCAAAGGAAAACTTTATATTACAAATAAGTCATTTGGGAGACATTTTGTAGTAAATTTTTCAGCATTAAGGAGACATTGGCTTTTAGGGAGA